CCCGTCTGGACCGCCACACCACCACTCACAGTGGACGACGTCAACGATTGCACGGTGACCGTCCCGGACACGTCACCCAACCCGCTTTGAATCGACACACTGCCACCTGTGGCGCCGGTTCCAGCTTGGACGTCAATACTGCCGCCCAATCCGGAAGCACTCGCGCCACCAGCAACTGTAATCGACCCCGCGCTAGATTGTTGTCCATTCGTTGTCAAAGAAATGTCCCCTGTGGAACTTGAAATCCGAACTTGCCCGCCAGAAATGTCTGCAGCGCCGACTTTGGTTTCTCCAAGTCCACCATGCACAACAACATCGCCACCAGTGGCGACAGAGTTGCCTCCAAATAGTTGCAGGGTGCCACCATTTCCTACTGAGGATTCTCCCCCTTGAATCGTCACATCGCCAGAAACTCCACCCGAGCTTGTACCCGCGCGAATGTCAACCCTTCCAGCCACAGGGCCACTTCCAGAAGACAATGTAACCATCCCGGATGACGAGGTAGCCCGGCCGGACGAAATTAACACAACACCACTTTCCAAGCCACCGTGTTGCGTCGACACAACGATGGAGCCAGTTCGAGCATGAGAGGACCCACCAGACGTAAAGCGAAGGTTTGCGCCATCACCAACAACGCTTTCGCCACCCCGAATGGTAACGTCGGCAGCTTCGTCGGCACCAGCCGTTTCGAGCACAATTTGTCCAGAGTTGGTAGCTCCCTTGCCACTCATGAGGACAATATCACCACTTTGTTTGTTGCTTTCAACGACTTGGCCGCCGCTGATTTTCACTGCACCAGCACCACCAGCCACCAGTTCGACGTTTCCACCACTGGCAGCATCGATTCCATTACCGCCACGCAGACGAATCGAGCCGCCATCTGGTCCGGACTCAAGAATGACATCGCTTGAAGCTCCGGACGTAATTTCCACTTGACCTGCGCTGGAAGCTTCAATCTTCGATGTCTTGCTCGTTGTTTTCAATTGGACGTGGCCACCAGACGATCCGTCGAACGTTTCGAGGGAAATTGTGCCCGATGGTCCTTGACTCTTTAGTAGTTTCAGTTGAATCGACCCAGATCGACCCTGTGGCGATCCGCTTTCAAGCACAATGTTGCCGGATACGTCGCCAGCTCCAGTTTTCAAATTGATGGCACCGCCACTCTTGGCTCCGTCACCGGCTGCCAAAGTAATCGAAGTGCCGTCCGTGTTACTTTTACCAACGGAGAGATCGATACTCCCTGCTTGTGCTGCAGCTCCGGTTTGAAATGTCAATCTGCCCGAGGTCAACTTTGAATCTCCCGAGATCAATTGAATTCTCCCGGTGTTACCGCTGGTCGAAGGGCTCGTCGTGGCGGAAATATCTCCAGATTTCTCGGAGGTAGCACCACTGAGCAACGCAATCGACCCGTCACTCGCGGCACCGACCACAATGCGGCCACCGTTCGAAGTCACCCCGCTCGACAAGACCACAGAACCACCGTCAACGGCGTCGTTACCACTTGAAATGGATACAATGTCCTTGCCAAACAAGTTGAGTTCCGCGCTCTCAACGTCAACATTGTCTGCAGCACGGAAAACTGCGTCCTTGGTCACAAGCGCCGCAGTGCCCGCACCAATGTTCACTTTTCCTTGAAAATGATCGTTGTTGGGCCCGCCATTGATAGTCACAGATCCACCATCCATGGCACCGTGGCCGCCTTGAATTTGCACAGCCCCGCCAACATTGCTTGCGTTTCCCCCATGAATGCGAATGACGCCTCCATTGGTACCGGAACTTGCCAAGGGGGAAATCTCAATGGCTCCGGACTGGACTGTGCTCTCCCCAGTATGCAGTTTCAAGTCGCCACTTTGATCAAATACACCTTGGCCAGTTTGAATGGTGGCGGAACCACTTGTCGTGGAGCCCCCAGAATGCAAGGCCACATTTGTGTCCAACGACAAGCCGGCATTTTGTGAGGCCGACCCTTGACGCAAATGAACTGAACCAGCTGAGGGCGCCGAACCAGTGCCAACAACAACCGGCCCGCTTTCCTTCGAACTGCTTGAACTGGTTAATGAGACTGATCCTGAAGCAGTAGAACCGGTTCCAGAGCTGATGGCAACTTTTCCACCAACCACACCTTTGCCGCTGGATAGTTTAAGCGCGCCAGACTCATGGCTGCTCGAATCACCACTCGACAGGTCAATGGCACCCGTGGCCTGCGACGCATCCCCACTACGAATGACAAGAGCACCTGAATCTTGGTTGGACACACCCGTGGACACGTCGATTCCCCCACTCGTGTACGACTCTGCGGTTTTGAGGTGAATGGCGCCGCTTTTGACTCCACCACCGCTGATAACGTGTACTTCACCGCCATTTGATGTCGAGCTACCCGAGATCAATCGGATCGAACCAGAAGTTTCTTGAGCAGTACCAACGTTCATCAGGATTGAGCCCGCGTGTACACCGTCTCCAGTTTGAATAAGCGTTTGCCCCGAGTTCTGCGAACTTGCTTCCCCGGATCGCACCACGACATCTCCCGTGGCTTTGTTCGCCGCATCTTCTGTCGTAAGTTGAATAGACGCCGTCGACCCGTCGTTGTTTCGGCCAACCGTAAACCGTCGATGATGCGCTTGCATGGCAGCGAGCAAATCAATGGTCAGCAGATGTTTGTTGACTTCGTGGAATTGGCCCATGGTAAAGTTCTTTTCAGGAAAGTGGTAGTCGGATCGGTGGATGTACTCGGGGAACGTTTCTGCCACTTGTTGAGCAATGACCCCTCGTACAACGTCGTCGTTCACATGGCCGATGGATTGCCATTCCTTAGTGTAACGGTATTGCTTGACTTCGAGGGACTGCATGCGGTGCAAAATGTCGTTTTGGTCCACGTCTTCGATTTCGGTCTTAATACGTCGATCCGAGGGGGTCGTGGACACTGGAAACGACGCTGGGACGTGACTGACAATGCGATCTTTCTGCATTCGAAAGTTCACATTGCCCGAGATAGGGGACTCGGCATGGCTAAACGTCCACTCACCCATTTGGAGAGTGTTGTTGGCCGCGTTGCCTCCAAATAGGTTCAAGGCCGCGGTGGGTGCGGTAGTTGCAGTAATAGACCCGTCAGCACCGACCACGATGGAGCCTGATTTGTCCGCCGAAGCCAACGTAACCGTCCCCGAGCTAATTCCTTTGCCCGGTAACAATGCAATGCTTCCACCTGAACTAGTTGTACTAGCTCCGCCATTGAGGTTGACAGCGCCACCACTGCCCTTACTCGAGCTTCCAGCTCCAAGGCTAATCGAACCACCTTGAGTTGCACCAGCACCCACGCCAACCACAACGTTTCCACTCGTCAAATCGCTCGTACCAGTCAACAACGACACCGTTCCGCTGTTTGCCGATGCAGTGTTTCCAGTTTGAATCGACACGGATCCACTCACTCCAGTTTGAGGAGTACCGGTGGAAATGCCAATGGAACCCGATGTGACCCCAGTACCAGAGCTGATGCTTAAGCCACCTCCAGTCCCACTAGAGGCTGGGCCACCTTGTACGGACACTGAACCGCCATCGAGGGTTGAACTTTGACCTCCTTGAATGTACACACTGGAGCCAACGGTGGCACTCTGACCGGCGTAAATTTGAACGAGACCCGCACTTCCGACAGAAGTTGAACCACTTCCAAGAGTCAAATCGCCTGAGCTCACTCCACTCGAGTCGCCAGACGTCACTGTTACGGACCCGCTTGCGCCAATTGCTCCTGTTGCGGCAGCCGAGCCAAACACAGCGTCGCCTGTCGATGCGCCCGATCCAGACTGGACAAACATACTGCCCCCCGCTAGTGTCGAAGACGCCCCTGCTTGGACAAGCACCGAGGCACCAGCTACGGAGGATGCAGTTCCTGCAGACAAACTGACCATACCAACAGCTCCCGTTGTAGAATCGCCAGACGAAATCGCTACAGAGCCACTGTCGAGGCTCGTCGACACACCAGACGAAAGCACAATGTTGCCAGAGTTTCCAACGGCCGAAGTACTTGATGCAATGTTGATGGTTCCAGAATTGGTACTTCCGTCGCCTGAGGTAATGGAGACCTTGCCGCCAGGCCCAAGTCCACTTGTTCCAGAACTAAGCACGATATCACCACCCAAATTTCCAGAACTTGCTCCAGGTGATAATAAAATGGAGCCAGCAGTCGAAGTCGCGGAGCCACTGGAAATTTGGATTTGTCCAGATATGCCAGCCGTCGCACCACCCGATGACAGTGAAATCGGTCCAGATATTGCCCCAGTCGGAGATCCAACTGCTACACTCCCACCCTGGCCGGTAGAGCTTCCACCTGACGACATCGTTAACGATCCACCAGCATTGGAACCCGTTGTGGTTCCGGCTGCAAGAATGAAGTTCCCACCAACCGTGGCAGCGCCGACAGTCAGTTGAATATTTCCGCCCGATCCAGAAGTTGAAGCTGAGGTGCGTACACTGATGCCACCAGCATTGCCAGTCGTCGCTTCACCCGTTGACAACGTAATTGCTCCACTACCAACACTGCCAGCGGATTTGATAATAAGTGGGCCAGATGATAGAGTCCCCCCTGAGCTGGTGATAGCGATGGTTCCTCCGGTGCCAGAGGTCGAGTTCCCACTGGATAGTGACAAGGTTGCACCAATGGCAGCCCCGCTGGAGCCTGCAGCAATTGAAATGGATCCGCTCGTAGCCCCTGATGATCCAGTCGACAGAGCCAGGCCCCCAGATGCGCCAGAACTGGCGCTGCCTGTCGTCAACTGAATGGCACCAGTTGATTTCGCATCCGCAGTGACAAGTCCGATTGAACCACTCGCGTACGTTGCCCCGGCGTTTCCACCCGCAATCATGTTGATATTTCCACTTGGTGCGTCGGCGAGGGTATTTCCAGCAGAAATGGCCACGTTTCCTCCAGCACCCTTCAACGCATCGCCAACAAACAGGGAGATCGAACCGCTTGCTCCAGTTGCTGCGCTGCCAGTGTTCAAGACCAGCTGACCAGAGGATACGGAACCACTTCCAGTTCCGACACTGATGTCGCCAGTGACAGGGCTATCAGCTGAACCAAGCGCAACTCCACCAGACGATGCTTGAGTGCTTGATCCAGAAAACAAGGAGATCGGTCCACCAGATCCACTAGATTGGCCTCCAAGGACACGAATTGCCCCAGAAGCACCAGTAATTGTAGAGCCAACGGATAATGTAATGGAGCCGCTGTCTGTGGCACCAGTTGCACTCCCAGTGGTGACACTAACAGATCCCCCGTCTTGAGCTTTGGCGTCTCCAGTTTGTAAGTTAATCGAGCCGGATCCACCGCTGGCACCACTGGCTGGGGTTGTTAGGCTGATGTCGCCACTTGTCGTAGCTTGTCCAGTTCCCGAGGTAAGTGTCACCGACCCACCAGTCGCAGCAGTGTTATTTCCGGCTACGAGAGTAATGCCACCCGCCAAACCTTTGCTAGTGCCAGTGGACACGGTTAGGTTTCCCGATTGGGACGCTGTAGATGATCCCGTGGATAGCACAACGTTTCCAGAGTTGTCCGTGGCACTTCCAGATCCCAGTATTACCAAACCACTTTTTCCAACAAGAGTGGATGATGAAGTGATTGACACTGTTCCAGTTGACGAAGTCCCGGCCGAGGTTGCGCCAGAGGTAACTTGGACGCTCCCACCAACCGTAGACGCACTGGACCCCCCCGAAAGCGTGGTGCTGCCACCAACTGACGCCGTACTTTGCCCAGCAGTTAAGACGAGGCTGCCGCCGGTTGCAAACGTGCTCTTGCCTGACGAGATCGTGACGATGCCACCAACTCCAGTAACTCCTGTCGTGGAGCCACCCAACACAGTTAATGCCCCGGCGTTTGAGCCCACAGAGTTGCCCACTTGAAGCGATAAATCCCCGCTAACATCCGACGATGCACCACTTGACATTGAAATCGTTCCAGAACTTCCCGAGGCTGCAGCATTCGAACTCAACGAAATGGAACCAGAATTCACGGAACCGATGGACGAACCAATTGCGACGGAGCCACTCGTTCCACCAACACTTGAACCAGAGGTCAACACGACGCTCCCGCCTGTAAAACCCGTTGCAGTACCAGCAGACAGCGCCAATTTACCACCTTGAGACGCTGAGCTTGTGCCAACACTGATTGCGATGTCGCCACTGGTTGCCGCATTGCTTGTAGACACTGTAACTCTGCCGGAAGCACTGGATGCAGCACCCGAACCAATGGAAATAATTCCAGTGTTCACACCACTTGCAGTTCCCAACGTCAAGTTGCCCGTAGTCGTACCAGATCCACCCGTTACGGCTGTAATTGACCCACCAGCGCCAGAGGTCGAGGATCCCGCCGAAATTGAAACATTGCCGCCAACTTGGTTGCTGGTGGCCGCTCCCACGGCAAAGATAATGTTGCCTGCAATACTGCCGGTGCTAGCAGTAGAAATCTGAACTTGACCAGCGCTTCCAGTTGTCGCAACTCCAGTTGAAATTCCAACGTTACCACTCGACACCCCCGCAGCAGTGGCCAAGACCACGTTTCCCGACAACGCCTTGCCGGCGCCAGAATTGATCGTGACGTTGCCTCCGTTCAGGTTTGAAGATGACCCACTGAGAATCCCAATATTACCAGGTGTTGTCGAGCTCAATCCAGCAGAAAGGGTAATGTCACCACCAACTCCGGCAGTTGCGTTACCAGTGCTGATCACAACCGTTCCAGTCATCGAAGCAGATGTACCAGTGGCCAAAAACAGTGCGCCAGATGTCCCTGACGTAGCAGAGGCAGCAGTCGAAATCGAGATTTGGCCTGTGGCTTTGTTGATGGGTGCGCTTCCCGAGCTCAAGGCAATGCTACCCCCTGTGGAGGACGTCGATGCGCCAGAAGTGAACGACACAGTTGCGCCACTGACAGATGAGCTTCCAGCTGACACCAGCACAGATCCGGCTTGGCTCAAGGTAGAACTACCCGTCGCCAAACTAATTTGACCACTGGCTTGAGTGGCTCCCGTTGCACTTCCTGTAACCACCGCAACATTGCCAGAGCTGCTCGTGGTAGTTCCGCTGGCAGTGCTGAGTGTAAGAGTTCCAGTAGTCCCGGTGGCACTTGTACCAGACACCAGTTGAATGGAACCGCCCGTTGTTCCTAATTGTTTGCTGTTCGCTGCGGCCAAGTTGATGCTCCCACCAATATCGCCAGCGCCAGATGCCAAACTAATGGATCCACCAGTACCAATAGTGGCAGCGCCACCTCGAATGTTCACAGTTCCAACAACGCCGTTGACAGCAGCCCCGGTGTTGATTGAAATGCCTCCAATGTTGCCCATAGTTGAGCTATCGGCTGTGGCAATGTTGAGGCTTCCGGTAGACGACGTTGCAACGGACGACGTACTGGGTCCTGAAGTCAAAGTGAGGGTTCCACCTGATGCAGCTGCACCAGCCGACAGCGACATGCTTGCTCCAACCGGTGTCGTCGTACTCGTGCCAGTTGACAAAGTGATTGTGCCAGCAGTTGGGCCACTGCCAGACACAATTGAAATGACACCACCAGAGCCAGTGGATCCAGTTCCCGTAGATAACGTAACACGACCTGACGTGACGCCATTTGCAGACGAGATGTCAACATTGCCAGTGGCTCCTGAACTGCTTGTACCGCTTGTCAGTCGAACTAGTCCACCTGTACCGGTTGTACTTGCTCCGCCTGCAATTACAGTCGCGCCGGATAGCAAACTCGTACCACTTCCACTGCCCCCAGCAATTGAAACACTGCCACCCGACGACGTTGCCTTCGTCGTTGCACCGCCTTGGATATTGACACTGCCACCGCTTGAGAAGTCTTGCGTGGTTAAACCACCCGTAAGTGTAATAGCGCCACCTTGTGCCTTGGAATTCTGACCCACACTAAGCACAATGCTTCCACCAGATGAACCTGACCCAGTCAAAAGGTAAACACCACCAGCTTCGGCATTCGGAGTGGACCCTGTTGTGACATATGCACTTCCAGAAGGTCCAGAGTTTGCGTTTGAGGCCATCAAGACGATTCCACTGCTCGTACTTGTCGTGCCAGCCCCCGATGTCATCATGATTGCACCGCCGTCGTTGCCAGCAGTGCTGGAATCACCACTGTACAACTCAATATTCCCACCTTGACCACCGTTGCCAGCGGACATGGTAATTTTGCCAGACGCACCCCTTGATGCGAGCCCAGTGCCAAGGAACAATGGTCCTGACGATCCAAATGTGGATGGGCCAGTTTCCAAGTCCAACATACCAGATGCAGTGGTCATAGCTGCACCAGAGGCAGCAGATGCAATGATCACGTCGCCACTTGCGCCAATGGTACTTGTACCAGAAGCCAGCATGATGTTGCCACCAGTTTGAGTGGCAGAAGCTCCCGCTTCAATATCCACCAAACCGCCAATGAGTTGACTGTTTCCAACACCGATGACCACTTGGCCGGCGGATGTCGTTGTCGATACACCTGAAGTCAACGTGATATTACCAGATCCAGAAACCGACGTTCCACTCGATAGTACAATCGAGCCGGATGAGCCAGCTGTGGTTGCGTTGGAAGTGCGGATGGTCAACGCTCCACTGCTTTGAGTAGCGCTTTGGCCTGTTTGTAGTGTGATGGAGCCGCCCGTCTGCAAAGCGGATGATGTGTCGCCAGCTCGCAATCTCAACTGACCACCAACAGACGTTGATGTCGAACCGACGCTAAGAGAAATGTCGCCTGCTGATCCACCTTTAGCAGCACCAGTTGACAACACGACAGACCCAGACGGGCCATTTTGTGAGGTACCAGTGGTCAAGGATATGCGTCCACTAACCCCCGCCATGCCGGAGTTGGAAGTCATGACGTTCACATTGCCACTTGTCGTTGTTCCGGACGTTCCAGACACGACGGTGACGTCACCACCCATTCCAGTAAGTGATGGACCCCCCGCAACCACAATGTCAGTGCCATCTCCACCCTCTGCAGTACCTAGGTTCATGACAATGGACCCCGGCTTGCCAATCTTGGAACCGCCGGTAGACAACACAATGTTTCCGGAGCTGCCAGATGAAGCGTAACCAGTAGAAATCGTGCTGTTGCCGCTAGCTCCAAAAGGGCCAGACGCTGCGGTTGCAATGCTAAACGCACCACTCGTGGTTGCAGTGGATGCACCGCTAGTCACCGTGATGGCCCCACCGGTTAAACCAGAATTGAGACCGCCAGTGATTGACACCGACCCTCCCGACGTTGATGTGCTTGCACCAGGGGCGACAGTAATACTTCCAGCCGCCGCTCCACTCGATGTACCTGTGGACAGCATGATTACGCCCGACGCTCCCGAAGTAGTCGCACCCGTGGACACACGTACAGTACCAGTGCCAGCACTGGAAGAACTCACACCTGACGCTATTTGAACGTCACCGCTCAACGACGAGCTGCTGACGCCACTAGAAATTGAAACCAACCCGCCTGTGGCTGCATTCGCAATACCGCCTTGAATGGTCACGCCGCCACCAACATCACTGGCGGACGCCGCGCCAAAGCTGCGTCCACCAGAAATGCTCACACTGCCACCATCGCCTCCATTGTTGTTGTCCGTACTGGTACCCATACCGGCTGCAATGACAATGTTACCTCCGGAAACACCTTGAACTTGGGTGGCATTCCCAGCGGAAAGAGTGATTTGACCGCCAGAACCGAGAGCTCCCGATCCAACAATTAAACTAATGTTGCCACCTGAACCAAGCGTTGCAACCCCAGATGCAAGCCTCAAATTTCCAGACGACGCAGCAGAGCCTGCACCGGACAAAACAGAGACGTCTCCCGTGGACGTGGAGTTGGCCGTACTCAAAGTGATGGCACCGCTCTTGGCGCCCAAGTTCGATCCAGAAAAGATTTGAACTTCACCACCAACTCCAGTAGCGTCAGTGGTATTACCAGCACGCAGGACAATACCTCCGCCAGTACCAGCAGCGGCACTGTTGACGCTCACTTGGATAAAGCCAGCAGCGCCCGAGTTGGACGCTCCAGTAGCAATCACAACTCGGCCGGAGTTACCCGCTCTCGCTAGCCCTGACGACATGGTAATGCTCCCGCTAACACCACCAGGGCCTGAATCGGCAGTGGAAATCGAAACAGTCCCACTACTAAGAGCATTGGAAGCGCCAGACACCAAGGAAACGGAGCCACCCGAAGCCATCGCTGCAACCCCACCACTGATAGTCACAGGTCCACCAACATCCGACGATGGATTCTGGCCATACGCCATGCCACCAGAGATATCAATACGACCACCCCGGCCACCCCCATTTGAGACATCAGTGCTGAATCCATTGCCACCAACAATGTACACACGGCCTCCAGATGACTTGATGTCGAACGTGTCACCGGCTGAAATGGTGATATTCCCGCCAGTGCCAGTGTCGCCAAAGCCCGACGCGACTGTGATGTTGCCTGCTGCACCCTTTGTTGCGTTACCAGTCAGCACAAACACGCTTCCAGATCCCCGTCCTCCTGTCGACACCCCGGTCGACAAGCTGATGAGGCCACTTTCGCCGGACAAACCAGCATTCGCAGTCGTCAAATTCACCGAGCCACTTGTCGTAAGTGTGCTGATCCCAGACGTCAATGAAATAAAGCCCCCCGTACCACCGACGCCAGTGGTAACACCCGCAGTGAGCAAAATGTTGCCACCGCTCAAGAGAGTTCCGTTTCCAACAGACAAGGTAATGTTGCCCCCTTGACCGCCGGTCGCTTTGCCTGTGGTAAGTGCAATCACACCCGACGCACCAAGTGTCGTCGTTCCAGTTGAGATGGATACCATGCCACTTTGGCCCGACACTCCGCCTCGTGCCGTCGACAATTGAATGGAACCACTTGTAGTCATCAACGATTGGCCAGAAGTCAAAACGACGTCCCCGCCCGTCCCAAACGCGCGAAATTCGCCTGCAGTTACGAGTACTTCGCCGCCGGAGCCAACATTGCCCGAGCCCACAGACAGTACAACGTTTCCGCCCGAGCCCCCGAAGGAGTACCCAGACGAAAGGGTGATGCCGCCCGAATTTCCGGCATAGGACGTTCCAGATGACGCCGTGATTGAGCCAGACAGTCCACCAGGGCCAGAGTTCGCCGTGTTCATGATGATTTCACCGCTGGTAGTAGCAACGCCAACACCAGAAGTAAAGGTGAGTCGACCACCCGTACTGGCAGACGCATTGCCGCCAGTAAGGGTGATGTTCCCGCCGCTGTTCAAAACAGGATTCAAACCCCATGCATTCCCGGCACTCACAATCACATTGCCCCCCCGGCCTCCGTCTTGGGTGTCGGGGTTTCGTCCATCGCCAGCCATGAAAACAACACGGCCACCCGCAGCAGATTTGGCAAACGTGTCACCAGCTTCACCGAAAATGTCGCCTCCGTTGTTGGTGTTGCCCGTGCCCACGGAAATCGTCACGGTGCCACCCGCGCCTCCAGTTGCAACGCCGGTCGAGAGGTTAATCGCCCCACTGTTGCCGTTAGATGCCGTGCCAGTGGACATGGTTGCGCTTCCAGACACTCCGCTGACACCAGCGTCGGACGTGCGAATGAGAATGTTACCACTGCTCATGGGAAGCGAAGCTCCGGTGGAAATGGTCACAGCCCCGCCCGTACGGCCAACAGCACTTGTAGTACCAGCAGACATCGCAATGAGCCCACCGTCGCCAGTGTCGCCTTGACCAACACCAATGTTGATGCTACCGCCTGAACCACCCGTCGACGCTCCTGTCCACAACAGAAACATACCAGATGGTCCAGCCGTGGCTTTGCCAGTGGACATGGACACAATGCCACTGATTCCTGCAGTCCCTGCATCTGCGGTGAATAATGTCAACGATCCCGAGGAAGTCGCGACACTCTTTCCCGAGCCCAATCGAACCGAACCGCCAATGCCTACCGCGGCCGCCCCACCCGTAACATCCATGCTGCCACCAGCGTCAAGGTTGTTTCCACCATAAGCTGTCCCAGCAGTCATGGACAAAGCACCACCACGACCACCGCCAGACTTCAGCATGTTGCTTCCCATACCGGCAGTGATGTTGACTCGGCCACCCGCAGCCAATGCATCCAACGTCTCTCCAGCAACCAGGACGACGTCGCCGCCAGGTCCTTTCCCGCCGGTGCCAACATTCACCGTGATATTGCCTCCGCTCGCAATGGCAGCATAGCCCGTCGAGAGTTGGATACTACCACTGGTCCCAAAAAACGAAGTGCCTGTGCCGATGGAGATGGTCCCAGACACCCCCTTCAAGCTCGAGTTGGAAGTCTGGATGGAGATATCACCACTCGAAGTCGAGCGACTGACTCCACTGGCGATTTCAATGGCACCACCCGTCGATGCAGCGGAAATACCACCTTGAAGACGAATTTTGCCACCAATGTTCCAATTCGCGTTCAAGCCCATGGCTTCACCACCGGTGACAAGCACCACACCTCCGCTACCTCCGTTGACGGCATTGGTACTGCTGCCAAGACCCGCCGACAATGAAACCGTACCTCCAACCGAAGCAGAATCTAGATCATACGACGATTAACTTCTCAGTCCGAAAGAGGTGAAGTTCATACCTTTGGTTTCCCCGGCAGAGACAATGACGCTACCACCGCTTTTCGTGTCGCCAGAGCCCACGATAATAGTGATGTTGCCACCCGCGCCCTTGGTCGCATTGCCCGTGAGGACATTTACCATACCTATCGAGATATTTGAGAAATTTGAAGTAGGTAAATACTATGTCATAACAAAATTACCAGTGGTGCCAGCGCTAGAAGTTCCAGTTTGAAGCGAAATGAAACCCGAAACACCCGACATGCCCGCGTTTACGGTAGACACCTTGATATCCCCACTCGAAGTTGGATCCGAAAAGCCCGACGTGACAAAAACCGAACCGCCCGATTGCTTGTCCGTTGTGCGACCGGCAGACACGTAGACATGGCCTACAAGCATACGAGCAGGCATTAAGCAACGCCCATTTCGTGCAAACAAACAATCAATATACCTCCAACTCCAGTGTCACCCACGCCCGCACGTGCCGAGATGTATCCGGAAGCACCTTTGACGGCCGTTCCCGTGTCCAATGCAATCGAACCACTAGTACCAGCGCTAGTAGTCCCCGAAAACAGCTGAATGTTGCCACTCACGCCTTTGGTGCCAGCGTTTGCAGTGGACATTTGAATGTCCCCACTGGACGTGGCTTCGCCGTAGCCAGTTTGGAGCCAAAAGCCACCGCCGCGACCACTTCGCGAGTACCCGCCCTCAACGTGCACGAACCCACCCTTGTCGTTTTTGTTGGCGCCTTGAGCCGCGCCACCGTAAATGTTGACCCAGCCGCCAGTGCCACCGCCGCCATAAAACGTACTAGTGCCTTCACCCCCCGTAATACTCACAGCACCACCGGCAGAAACACGGGCAGTGGTTTCCCCGGCAGTAATGGCAACTTCGCCACCATCACCCGTATCACCAGTGCCAACAAGCATGACAATGTCACCACCACGACCACCAACAGCAGTGCCCGAAGCAAGAAGCAACGCTCCCGTCGTCCCCGCGCTCGAAGTACCCGTGTAAAGGGACATGGAACCAGACACTCCATTTTGGCCAGAATTTGGAGTCCTCAACGAAAGGTCTCCGCTGGACGTTTGGTAGCTGTAGCCAGTGCTCACTGACACATAGCCTCCGGTTTGGGTATCCGTGGTCATCCCAGCAGCCACGACAACGTGCCCGCCTTCCCCCGTGTCACCATCGCCCACAAGTAAAGCCAAATGTCCACCCTTTCCAGCAGTGGCTTTGCCTGTACTCAAAGTAAGGGACCCAGTGGTGCCAAAACTAGAAGTTCCAGTTTGCAACGACAACAACCCGCTCACACCTCGAGCTCCCGCATTCGCCGATCGAAGTTCAACCGTTCCGGACGAGGACGACATCCCAGTGCCCGACGTCACTGTCACGGTGCCACCGTAACCAGATGTAGCGGTACCACCGGTAAAGGTCACTGCACCACCGTTGTCCAAAGAGTTGGTACCGTACCCCGCACCACCTTGAATCTGAACGTTCCCACCGTCGCCGCCGTCCATTGCATTCGGTGAAGACCCAATACCACCGGAAATTTGCACGGTACCACCCATTTGACCTTGAGACGTGGTTTCGCCCGCCACCAAACTAATGCCGCCGCCGTCGTAAAACATGCCAGGGCCAACGGTGACCTGGACAGACCCGCCAGCCCCCGCTGTCGCCGCACCCGACGACAATTTAAACCCTCCAGAGGAATACGCACTCGACGAACCGGTGGTCAGGGTGATGCCACCACTGGCCCCCATAGATCCTGACGGAGGCGAAGCAATCATGATCGATCCCGACGAAAACTGCTGCGATCCACCCGCAAGTACGGTCACATCGCCTCCAGAGCCCATGTTGGCACTGCCGGCCGCCATGGTAAGCCCACCCCCCTTGTTGTTTGTCGACATACCATAGCTAAATCCACCGGTAATGGCCACGACGCCGCCGTCACCGCCTTTGCCTTGGTTGTCGCTCGTTCCGTCACCACCTTTTACAGTCACAGTTCCGCCTGCAGAAGCAGGAGCCGACGTTAATCCAGCCAACAGTGACAACGCGCTGCCGTCGCCTTGGTCGCTCGAACCAACCGCGACAGAAACCGCACCAGCATGGCCATTCGTTGCCGCACCAGTGGACAGGACAATTCCACCAGACGAGCCCAGCGAGGCAGTTCCAGTGGTGAATGACAAAAGCCCGGACGGTCCCGCAGATCCACTGGGTGCAGACTGCAACGACACACTGCCACTGCCGCTTTGGGTGGAAGTGCCCGACGTAAGCGAGAGTTTGCCACCAGTGGCTAGCATGGACGTGCCGCCGCTCAACGTAATCGTGCCCCCAAGGCCTTCTTGCGAAACACCGCCAGACAGGGCGATGGAGCCACCCGCACCAACTCCATGCGCACTGGTGTGCACACCCGAGCCAGCCCCGGCCTTGATGCTCATGTCTCCCCCTCGACCAGCATCCAACGACGTGCCATCTCCGGATTGAATTTGCACATTGCCGCCCTGTGTGTTGGGGGTATTGGTCGTACCGCCCGCCAGTTTGATCGAAATGATCGATTGCTTTCCTGTGCCCGCAGTGACTTCGATGCTGCCAACGGTGCCGGAGACCGAGTCCCCCGAGCGGACGCGAATAGGGCCACTGGGTCCGTCCAGGGATTTCCCCGTCGAAAACGTCAACGCCCCGGATGTCGACGAGTCAGCAGATCCAACCTTGATCTCGCCGCTCGTGGCAGTTCCAGACTGGCCGCTTTCGAGCACGATGTTGCCGCCCGCCATGGACGCACTGGCTCCAGACTTCAAGCTAATGTCCGACCCAGCGCCCCCTTGACTCATACCCGATTGAATCTGCACTACACCGGCCCTGCCTTGCAGCGCATTGCCAGTGTTCAGGGACAAGTCCCCCGATTGGCCAAACGTCACCGCGCCAGTCGTAATGTCAATGGTGCCGCTGTCGGTCTGGGCTACCGCGGTGTTAACCATGACATCGCCACTATTGCTGGCTTCGGATCGACCGGAAGTCAGCGCAATGGCACCTCCAACTCCAGCCAAGGCACTGCCCCCAGAAAGTCGGATATCACCTCCTTGACTGGTAGGAACCGACGTCTTCGAACTCCCTCCTCGAATTTCAATCACACCGCCATGAGAGGTAATATCGATGGACGGGCCAAGGATGTCGCCACCACTCAATTGAATACCGCCGGCCGCACCGCCCTTGGTCGCCCCACCAGTAGCAATAACCGAGCCACTTTGCAGCGCGCCGCTGTCTTGGCCAACCACAAACACAATGTCCCCAGCAGGCATTTTGGACGCGTCCGACGTACTACCCGTGGCCACATACACCGACCCCGAGACGCCCTTCGCGGCGGTCCCTGTGCCCACGAGCACGTTTCCCGACTGGACGGGTGCGCCAGCTGTGAGCACCGTGACGTCTCCGCTGGAGGTGAGGCTCGAAGTACCCGAAAGCACTTTGACCGTACCGCCCGTCGCAGTGGCCGCCGTGCTCCCCACCACTGAAATTTTCGCGCCGGCGGCTCCCACTGCGGTTGAAGCTCCGGGTTGCATCGAAACCGCTCCGGCAATGCTGGCATCCCCCGACGAAATGCTGAGGGTGCCGCTGGAAGACGCCTTACCAGTCGTAAACACAACTGGCCCACTCAGAATCGGAGCGGCAGCCGTCGACAACGTAATTGTCCCACTGCGAGCCGTGGTCGACCCGCCCGACACAAGAAAAATCGATCCGCCAGTGACAGACGAAGACCCGCCCGTCAACTTGATGTTCCCGCCTACGCCTTCCTTCGACTGGCCTGCGCTCACCGCCACGTCCCCACCGACAGCGGATCCACCTTGAAGCTTAAGGCCATACGCGTCCCCGGCAGAAATCGACACCGACCCGCCTTTGCCACGGTTGATGTTGGTCCCGCTGCCAGCTTGAATGTTCACTGCGCCGCCTGCCACGTTCATCGTCGTGCCATTGCCAGCCCTCAAATCAATCGGCCCGGCAGAGTCCACTGACACGCCGGCCGCATCTACCGACGTACGGTAGGAATCATTATCGTAGGGGCGAGGGCCTTGCACAACAAGACCTCCTCCCCCAAACACCGGGTCTGCGACCACGGCCAAATTACCCACGACTAGAATTGTGATTAGACGAGTATCGAAGTGGTAAAGTAAAAGAGGAGTACCTTGATTGTCAGCCACATACGTGGTCGGACAAGGCAGGTCGAACACCGTGCCGCGACAAGCCGCGGTATACGTATCCTCTGCCGTAAGGCACAAGGACTTGGACGCACACCACGCACAAGAGTCAGCAACGGCACAACTGGTGCAGTCCACCAGTCGGTCGCAATGCGGGTTCTGGGGGCACGCGTCCGCACTGGCAAACAGCCAATCCGGACACGGTACCTCCACAGACGGACCCGCAGTCGTGCCTGGCAAACACTGCATCGTCGAGTGACAGAACCCGCACCCGGACGTCGCCACACAAGCTCCACACTTGTCGGCTTGGTCCCAATACGGCACCGTCGTGGTCAACGACGCAGGGTTGAATGCCCCACACGCACCAAAATCAATCACCACTGCAGGGACTGCTGGTGGAGCAGGGTCAGTGCCGCTCGCGACACCCACCACACACCACAACACCCCCACACTGACCGCAGCCCACATGGCCACAGTCCAACGCAACACGTTGACAAGAGTCTTCATCCTTGAAGTACTCGCCACCAATGCACTTGTTATCCGTTCGCTTTTCCACTACAATATCATGTTATATACGCACGCTGGAAACTTCACGCACCTGGAAACGCTTAGTCGCCGCTACCGTTTTCCTCACAGAAATGTGCTGCTCTTTCCCAACTGCTATGAATCACGCAGAGATGACTGGCACCGCTGATGAACAAAGTAGATGGAAGAAGGTTGTCACACTCTTGAGGCTCTCGGCAGGAACACACTATCGTCCGTCACGCAAAAGCTTAAGATAGCAGGGGCGCAGAAGATCGCAACGGAGGAGCCACACAAAATATGGAACGTCCTTTTTATCCAATCCAAGTACACTTTGACTCCTCGCCGCTTAGGATTGGGCAATTTCGTTAGAACCCAATCACGTAACGCTTGGGCGTTTCTAAATTTGGCTTCAGCCAATCGTTAGTGTCAGGGCCAGATCAGTCCCAGCCAATAGCCGTCGAGCAGCCAGAAATTCGAACCTTGCAGTGCGGCGAATGTCCGTACAGTGTAGGAAGGAAGGAACAGGTTTCGACCTGGTCTAGAAGATGCAACCTGTCTTTAGACGATGGAAGTTTATGAGTGCTTTCACATATCGTTAGAGCTCGAAAGTGGTTGAATAGAATTTTATGATGTGCCTGACTCTGGTAAACTTGCCTGAAGATGTGCGAAGGATCAAGAAACGACTTCAATGAAAAGTAGACGATGAAGTCCTTCGTGAACCTTCATTCACATGAAGGTGAAAGATATGAAAGGTGGGTGTTTTCAATACCTTCATTCGCAGTCCATTCACATGAAGGTGAAAGATATGAAAGGTGGGTGTTTTCAATACCTTCATTCGCAGTCCTTTATACTGTACTGTACTACTGGTAAAGGATGACTGTTCATCGCAGTGAGATTTCTGGGTTGGTCATTTTCTCAACATTTCTTAAATCCACCATATTCAATACCAGTATACTTCGAAGTACTTCGTATTTAACAGTAAGCCATAAATTCCTCGTTTCAAGCACTATCGCATGATTTAAGATTATAATATACTGTATTCATTAAAGGGTTAAATAATGGAGCCAAAAAAGTGGAGTTGTCTCAAACTACTGCCACTTTCAGCATCGATTCACAGTCAATTGAGCACAAATTGAGCCGAGACATATGATTGGCTAATATCGACTTCTTGGTAGAAAAATGAAAATGGATTTTAGCCAATCAGCAACAAGTAATTTCCGATTGACGAATTGGTGTGTCCGATTCGGTCGGCGAGATTCCTTTGAACGGGGTCCGGAAATTCGTACCGAATCTCCAATAATTTTCACAATATTTATTAATTGTGAGGGTCGATTTCGCTGTGCTCGATGCTCGAAAGAGCATAAGTATTACTTGTGGAAGGCTCAATTTATATCTACTAACGTGGCCGACCATTGATGTGCCGATTTTTCTTCATTTTCATTTTCGAATATTTCAGTTGTTTTTTCGAATCCTCCCTTGATACATACATTTTTGGATGGATAACGTTGAGCTCTTTCGAATGAGCCCAAAGTATATCGATTTAAACAGTTTAGGATTGCACAATATATTTTT